TCCTCAAAATCCTCCTGGAAACAAAATCAATATTATATTTTTTTTTATAATGAGTAAACAAATATATAAGAAGATGAAGGACATTTTTATACCTTCTAATGGAATGCTGTGCACAGATTGGTGGGCTAGCACTGACTCTACGCCAGTATGGCATTTGGTGAAATGCAGAAGGATGTCAGATCACTAGTTCAGCCTAGAACTACTTGTTGGCACAGAACTTCTGATAAGCTAACAAATATATACTGCTTCCAAATGCAAACAGTTTCATGTGAGCTAGCTCAACTGTTTTGCCAGGGTATTTCAGTTCCAGGATTATCTTCCCAAAATCTGGACCTCCTCTAAATGACTTGTCTAAATGCCAAAATGACAGAAGCAGAATTGAAAATGTCTACTCCTGACTGTTTTCATAGCCATTGCATAGCCCATTTTTCCTTATTTTATTGTGCCATGAAAAAAGCTTAGAGTTACATTATTTTCTAGAAGTGCAAAGAAGGGAAGAAAAAGACCATCCAATATCCAGTTAGAGATTCTTACAATATTTGGTTCTGCTCCTAATTCTAGAGTAGTCTATAGGTGAGGCTTTTCAAAATCTTGGTTCACAAATTTTAGGACTTATGGTCTGTTTCCTTGTGCCTGATATTAACTATATGAATTGGAAAGAGGCAAAAATCTTTTCCATAATACAAAGGAGAGTCTGGATGAATCGCAAAGGACAACTTAATTGTGAACATAATTGCACTTCTTGCAGATAATTGCAATTGTAAGTCAAGCAAGACAGCTTCTAACAGTTGGGTCAGATTTTTAATTTTACAATCTAAATTATTAATGAGAATATTTCCATAAGCTTTCTGCATAAAAATTGACTTCATAACAGAAAGGTCAGATGGTCTTGTCTTCTAGCCTTTATGATTATCAGTGGTAATCAGAAACTGTTTTCCCATAAATGTGTGCTTCTTTTTTGCCTCCTGACATACAAACCAAATGTAGGTGGTGAATTACTTATAAGCTTTATGAAGCAAAAATTAATTTTATAGCTTCTAGTTAAAAGAAAATTAAATTAGACTATGCATGTAGAATTAAGAAACATGAAGGGTTAAATGGCAAGTGTACACAGGAATAGAATTTAGCTTTTTTTTTTTTTTTTTTTTTTTTTGAGTGATTTAATACCTTGGGAATCTTGAAAGCAGTATTGAGTCAATTGTGGAAAGCCTGATGCAGGCTACTTTCCACAGTGTGACTGCAGTCAGACAAAATGGTATGATGCATAAAGAAGGCAAGCAGATCAGTACAAGAATGCATAATGCTATTGTATAAGTCAGTAGTGTTTCCACATCTGATAGACAGCCGTGTTGAACACAATATCTCTTGAGACTGATACAGTGGTAATATAAGGGGACTTGAGGCAAGTGGTGAGGGTGGTTAGGACTATAAAGATTTTTATAAGTGGAGACTGAAAGGTTGAGATTATTTATGCAGAAGGTAGATTGGAAACTTCTATAACCTCTCTCCAAAAGGAAGATTTAAGAGCATATCCAGTACCATCAAATAGAGTAAATTCAAAACAGATAAACAATTTTTTTTGTTTTTACCTGAAACACAAAGGAATGACAGAATTCAAGGTCACAAAGATTGAAATTTAAGATGATTCAGAAAGACATTTGACACCTTTCTCAATGAGAATTTTAAATAATAAACATATGGGTTTTTTGGAAAAGATAATTTTAAAAAGAAGAATTGCCTGAGGTAAACACATACTTTTAATATAACGGTTTATTGCATTATTTTGTGATGTATCTTGGCTGGCCAGCATTAGAAATGTTGAGTAAGAGTCAGAATATTGGACAAAATGGATAATCATTTTTATTCAGGATGACAGTTTCTCTTCCTATTGCAATCTGAATTAATATGTTAACATTTCTCTCTGCTCCATTTGTCAAGAAAAAAGAATGAATGGCAGCTTTGATTTCCCTTTCTGCCCCCAGAAAGTAGCTGTCATAGTCCTCTTTCAGAGATTCAATGGGGCAAAATATTTTAAAGCGTCTTTAACTCACATTTCATGCTTATAATCTATGAACAGGTCCGGGACCATGGCAAATATCTCATTCTATGCTCCTTTCCTGGCATTTCACTACTTTGATAAATGAGAGATGGTATATTTTACAATTTCAGGGATGCTCAGCTGGAAACACTTACAGGAACTGTTTTATTCTAAAAACACTCATCCCTTGAAAATTGTTCTGTTTCCAGGTGTCTCAATTTCTGTATTGAGTCAACTATTGAAAGCCTTATCATAATAATTCAAAGAGCTTAATATATTCGTAAGGAGTTTGCTTTAAAAAAATTCTTCTTTTACTAAGATTTTCTTCTCCTACTAGTCCAATTTATAGAAAAAACAGGTTCCAATCCCAAAATATAATCGCTTTTGATTAGGGCACTTGAATGCTGAACCAGGATCTGAATTTTGTAGCTACTTTTTCTCTCCACAGAGATTCAAAATCCTAAATCCCATTTGTGTTAGCTGTGGAATTAGCAAGATATGGCTGGGGGGGGGGGGGGTTGAAGACAGAAACTATTATTTTTTTTAATCCTAAATCCCATTTGTGTTAGCTGTGGAATTAGCAAGATATGGCTGTGATTAGAACTGCTTAAAGACAGAATTTCTGTTCTATGGGATTTTCTGGGGAAAAAAGAATTATCATTCAGTTGCGGAATTAAAATAATAAATACTGGAAATTTTTTCCCCCAGAAATTAAACCAAAATTAATTACTTAGAGTTAATTGGAATCTGATAGAATCAGAGAATATTAAAGTTGGAAGAGTGGGTCAAGTGAGAGCAGGTTACTCAGTGCCTTGTCCAGTCTGGTTTTGAGTTTTAGTTATCACCCTCACAGTGAATTTTTTTTTCCTGATATATTAAGTCAGAATTTCCCATGTTCCAGCTGGTGTCTGTTGCTTTTTGTCCTTTCCCTGAGCAAAGACTTTGCTCCCTGGTGCCACTGGAGTCCCTGGGTACTGCTGGAGAGCTGCTCCTGCTGCCAGGAGGTTCTCCTCATCCCCAGTGCCTGACCCGCAGATGCCTCCAAACAGTGCGGATCCCCTCCAGGTGCAGGTGTGCATACGTGTGTGTGTTAACAAGTACTGTTAGCGTTTTCCTCATCATAGTCCCTGAGGGACAGCCCTAGTAACCAACTGCTCCTCAGTTGGACCCGGTACCGCTTCTCACAGCCCACAGTGTGGTGCCTGGCAGTCTGGCCAGTGGTCCTTGTAGTCCTCCTCACCCCATTTGCTCTAAGGACACTGTGGGAAACCATGTCACAGGCTTTGTTCAGTCAAAGTAAACAGCATCCACTGCTCTTCCTTTATTGACCAAACCAGTCCTGTATTCATGGCAAGCTCTCAGGTGGCACGGTTCAACCTTACCAAGTCTGTGTTGTCTATTCCCAGTTGTTTCTTGTTTTTCATATCCTGGGTGTTGTTTTCTGGAGGATTTGGTCTGTAACCTTCCCAGGGACTGAGGATGATTAGCCTGCATTTACCTGGATCCTCCTTTTTGCTCTTCTTGCAGGTGGATGTGATGTTTATCTTTTTCCAAAAGTCTTAGCCTTGAGAAGTCCACACGAGGTATTTCATGTCACCAGGAAGCCCTATCTCACCTGATTTCCTCCTCTTGTGTAGGCCCAAACCCTAAAAGCCACAATCTCCCACAATGTGTTTACTCGATTATAACTTTTCATGGCAAAATACACATAATTTTTAATATAAGAAATCATAAGTTTATAAGTCACATTCCAGTTGTAGAGTACAGAATTTGAGCTGTTTTGCTCAATGGTCACTCTGTCAGAACTTCAACTTATTTTTCTAATTATTTTTTCCCCCATTTGTCCCACAGCTCTCTCTTCTGGGATTAAAGTTCTAGTAAACCAGAAAAAAACTATGCTAAGTGAAGGACAATTAATTTGAGGTTACTTGAAAGCTCCCATACAAGTAGTTGTTAAAAGGTACCATGGAAATGCTGCTTAGAGTGGTCTCGATATATTGAAGGGAAGATAGTAAGAGACAAATCACAACAGATCATAAAATACAATATGTCTTTGAGCACTACAATAAACAGGCTATTCAGTCTTGCTACAGTGTAAATACTTGTGGTAGTAAATCTACCAGACACGGCTATGCTGTAAGGAAGAAAAGAGGCTGAGGTACGTTCAGTCTGGCAAGGCCAGAAGTAAGAGAAGCTGGTAATAGCCTGCACATATCTAGAAGGCATTAGGGTCTAAAATGGAGGCAAAGTGATTGGTGTGATTCACAAGTGTCTAACAAAGAACAATAAAATTAAATTAAGGGAGAGTCTATCAGGAAAATGTCTGATTGGTGAGATGTTAAAAAGCTGTGGACACACTCCCATGGGAATGTGAGGGACAGCCCATGAGCTGGGATTATGGAAACTGCATTGACTAACACATTAGAAAATTTTATCAGTCCCATATGAGTAGAGAAATGAAGGGAATGCTTTTATGAGAATCCACGTCTCTAGCATCTATGATGCTCTATTACATACTCTAAAGACGTCCCATTGAAATCCCTGTAGAAAAGTTACCACTGATTTCAGTTAAGGTGGATCAAGACCTTAGTGCTAATACGGACCATGTTTGTCATAGTCATTTGTCTAGGACCAAAGGTGGCAATGCACAAGGAATGTTTGTACCAGTGCGAGGACCATGGGAAAATAGGTATTCAGTACTCCTTTAGCTGTGTACGGAAAGCTCTAGAGATAACGTGTTAGCTGAATATCTGTTTTCCTTTATAGGAAGAGTTAATTAGTTATACTGGGGGGGATTATACTATTCCATCCAGGAGACACTGTAGGTTTATGTAGTTTTGTTTTTTCTATGAAAAAGACTATTATGTTCTATATTTGAAAATGTAGTACATGAAAGTTTAATTTGATTTTCCTTGTTTGTCAAGAGGGGTTTTTTTCTCTCACTCAGATATCTCACTTACAGGGGCCTCAAGTGTGCGTGGAGCCCGTCTTGTTCTTGCACAGATTGTTGCCCTTCTGATGAAGAGGTTTCTCCACACTAGGCGAGACTGGAGAGGAAGTCTGTCAAATGTGCTGCTGCCTGTCCTCTTTGTTGCACTGGCAATGGCCTTGTTTAGTGTGAAGCCGCTGGCTATTGATTATCCTTCTCTCAAGCTGACACCAAGACTTTATGACAATGCAGAATCCTTCTTTAGGTAAAGGGCTCATCCATCATCATCAATATCCAGGGTTCTGGGACCTTTACCCTTGAGTTCTCATATTTAGAGACTGTTTGCATTCTAGGAAGAATAATAGTTACTTTTTACAATAGCTGTTTATTTTTCACATTTAGTACAGTTTTATATATTATTATGAGGGAGAGATAAAATTAGAAAAACATCGTGCAAAGGATTTTCTGGAGGAAAGGGCAAAGACTTTGGAGCAGTTTGAACTGGGCAATCTGTTTCAATACCAGTCATGGCCATTTATATGTAAATGCACAAGTGTATTTAAACAAGCCTTTGCATGCTTCATTTTAACTAATTGCTTAGGTCTGAAGCCATTTTCTCAAAATAATTCTCAGGTTTGAAAGTGTCACACAGTATTAACAAAGCCTGGTACCCTTCTCACTCAGCCTCTAGTTTCTATATGCTCAGCTTTGAAACCAACTAGATTATTTATTTATTTTTAATGTACAGTATCTATAGATCAGCTCTGAACTACTCTATATTGAGTGCACGTCGCATACAGATCACTTTCTCTACTGGAAAAATATCCAGATATCTTCATAAACATAACATGATGCTGTTTGAAAAACACTTAAACCATGTTAATTGTTAGGAATGCATATTTATAAAGAGAAAGATGGCCATGGGGAGACGTTGAGATTTGTTTAGCCATAATTGTATTGAATTTTCTTTACATGAAAGAGTAATTTGAAATGAGATCATTTTGCTGTTTTGGTATGTTTCCTATACATGGATTTTATAGTTCTTTAATTTCTTGGTAAATGTGTAGGATCTTGAGCCTGAAAGTTAATGGAACTAGACATATTAAGATTTTTTTTTTCTTTTTTTTTCCCCTTACCTTCCCTCCCCCCCTGTGGCCCACTTTGAAACAGCACTGAAGATGATAACCTAGGAAACCTTTCTCAGATTCTACTGAGATATTTCTTTGATTGGGACCACACGTGCATGCATTCAAAACAAGGGTAACTGCGAATAACATAACTACTTCCTTAATTGTAAATTGTAAATATTATAAATTCTTTTTTTTTTTTTCTGTGTAATGTGGACTATCTTAAGCTTTTCTTGCAGCGTGAGGTTAATGACAAATCTGTTCTGATGAAGGATTTGGAATCCAGGTAAAATACATAAGTAGGCTTCATTGTTAAAGGTCTGATCCAAAGTCCTTAAAAGTCAGTGACAGCTTTCTGATTAATTTCAGGAAGATTTTGATCAAGTCTGGCGTCCATATGAATGAAGGTTAGACAATAATTACAATATTTGTTAGGAAGCATTCCAGATTTCCAAATTTAGGAATGCAGAGTTGTGACCATGCTTTACTTATTACTGCAAACAGAAGGCATGCAGCTCATTTGCTGCTTTGCTTATATAAATATTTTTAGTGAATCCACTTCAATACAAATGAGTAAAATTTATATAGCTTTAGACACAGCTGCCACTGTGATATAATGCTAAGAATGTGTTCAAGATGCCAGATCTGCTCGTTACTCTGTGGATTTCTTCTGTTAAGTAATATACTCCTTTCATTTAATGGTTGTTCCTATTGTTATGTTTATTCCCATTAGAAAAAATAATTCCTGTTGGCAGATGGAATCTACGTCACCCCAGGATTCATGCGGATGTGTGGCTGAACAAGAGGTATGTCATTTTATATTTACTTACGTATGTAAAATTTGTGTGTGTGTATATTACATCTAATACCTTGACTCTTCTTTTTGAAGGGCTAGAGAAAGGGGTGAGGAAATAAACCCTCAGAGCACTGGCTTTGTTATGATTGGAGATTTCCTTCTGTTTTATCTCATGTTTGGGCTGCGTGTTCTGAAGTCTTCAGGGAAAGAGCTTGCACAATTTTGATGTGTGTGTATATATATGTGTGTGCATGTGTATATATGTACTAGAAAAGGTTATAGATTGATCTGAAATAACAGGAATCAGAGATGGCTGAACTATTCTCAGCAGATGCAACTTTGCTTTAATTATGTTATAGGACTTTGCTTAGAAAAAAACTCATGTAAAACAAGGTTAAAACATAACACTTCCATAATATCTGGAAGACTACCTGCTTTCAAAATGGAAGGGCAGGTGATCCTAGCTGATAGAAACTACCAGGGAATCTACATGTGAATGAGATTTAATTGTTAGAGTTTGATTTTGATTTGGATTGTGTATTTGAAAACAAAACAGCCTTTGAGGAAAGAAAGAATTTTGAAAAAGATAATGAATTTTGACCTTCTTGACTAGTGAGTTTTCCTGCTGACTTGCTCTGAGGTTGAGTAATAAACAAGAATGTGAAACTGTGTCTGAAGTGACAAATATATTTCCCTGGATGGGACCATTCTATCAAATAAGTTCTCTCCTTCATAAAGATATGAATATTTAGAGTAAGAGTTGCATGTGCAATACAGCATTACAGTTTTGGGAGAAATGGAAGGAGGAAACTAATTTTTTACTTTGCTGGGCAAGGAATAAATTTGCCTCCAATACTAGTGAGATGTATACTTAAAATACGAGAAGCTTAAATAAAATGGGAATGGGAACTCACAAAGGGAGAGGCCCATTAACCATGAAAGCTCAAGGGAGAGAAGCCATTTGACAGTGGAGGCAGAGCCTGTATCTGTGAGCTATGAAAAACCAGAATCTCTGAGAGTGAGTTTTAATTTGTGTAGGGTTGAGATGTCAAGTAAGCATTAAAATTTTTCAGTTGATAAACATAATGTACTTTATAAGGCTTCCAAGATATCTGATCATAATATCTGTCTCCGTTTATTTGGTTGTGAGAATATCCCACTGAATCATTAGAAAACATCTTCCTTTATTCTTCTCTGCAGACCACCAATTAAATTTTTAGAAGCATATTGCATTAATTAGAATTTTGTTTTCATCTCATATTCACGTGGTGCGTTTCCTGTGTTTCTTCTCAGGCACAACAAGTGAATAGCAGTGTTGCCTTTTTCATTGTTGTAAACCTTTCTAAACCTATATACAAGTTTTGATGTTTTCAAAACAAAACTGACTGACAGGGTTGCAAAAGAAATCAAATGTGGTTCTAATATGTAAGTGGCACAAATAAAAAACTGTACATAATTAATTGAAAAGTTATCAAAGCTGAGAAAGGTAAATCCAGTTGAAAAGCAATGCTGTAAAATCTATGTAAAAATTCAAAAATATAGCTAAATGTAGTGCCACTGATTTTTAAGAGTGCTTTACTTATTTTATGTACACTGTTTTTCAGATGTGTCCAAGTTTCAATACCTCTGCTCCCTATGTGAAGAATAAGAAAGGACAGATTTTGTATAATCTTTCAGGGTTCCTTGTGGAAGAATATTTAGTGAGGCCTTCCAACAAAGCAAGGTAACCTTAAAATATCTAACCTTTGTTTATCCTTTGTGTATTAAAAACACAGTCCTTCCTGACCCAAAGCATAGACCTACGTCACTGAGAATATAAGGGGTAGTTGCCTTTATCTGTTAGTTGTTATCAAGGCATAGAGTTGGGGCAAGGTAACGTGCCTCTACAGCTCAACCACTGTCTTTGACATAAGTACAAATACTCCACCAAGTATGATTTTATCAAGGAGAAGAAAGTGTTAGCCATTTATGCATTTTAAAAAAAAGTGTATCTGATTTGATAAAAATAGAGGTAAATATCTTAGGATGAAAGATTTGAGCTAGAATATGAGTGGAGCAGGAAGAAATCAAGCTGTTTAAGATGCTTCTGAAAGTCAGTAATACCTCACTTGCTCACAAACCCTCCTGTTGTTCAGGGATTTCAGCTTTCAGAAAGTAAAAATTCTTATCTGAGGGAATCCCTTTGCCAGAAAACAGCAATAATGTTCACCTGATTCAAGAATATATTGAGCTCCTCCTTTTTAACAGAGAAGGGGTTTGTGAGGGGTGAAGTTTTACTTTCAGTTGAAAAATAAAGCATTAATGTAGATAGTACCACTTTATCATTGCAAGAAAAGACTGCTAAGCTTAAGGTAGGTAACTTGTTATTACTTTATTTTCTATTACCAGATATGGTGGTTGGTCTTTTGGAGGGAGGAAAACATTTGAACTTCAAGATAAAAAATTGAATAACACCAAATCTAAGCCTCTGGCTAAGGTAAGGGTTGCATGTATGTGTGCACATTTGTATGCATGTGTTGCTTACTTATTCAGGCTCCAGAATTCACAGTACTTAGAAAATAATAAATCATTACATACAATCCTTGCATTTAGAAATTGGGAGAAAAACTCTCTGTCTATTACAGTCCACTTCTCTGTTCATAATTCTTGAAGTATTCTTCTGTGTTCCGAGAAGCAGTTTTAAATGAGTCAAATGATATGCACCACTGTGCCAGCACTCCCAGGGCTTCCCTTGGGAATCTAGAGAGGTGGGCAGGAAAGGGATGAGTATGGTGGGGAAGGAAGGGGTTTTTTTGGGTTGGTTGGTTAGTTTTTGGTTTTGTTGTTGTTGTGGAGGATTGTTTGTTTTGGGGTGGGGGGGGTTGGAGGGAGTTTGGTGTTTTAAACACCCACCCCCCCCCAAAAAAAAGTAAAAAAAAAAGTAAAGATTTAGCTTCTAGGAGTAGCTACTTCTGTGTAACAAATATGCTACCTTGTGTTTATAATCCCCTTTTCAAATATGAGTAACTTTGCATTTTTATCCCAGAGTGTGCTGGGATACACAGAAGTGTGCCTTGCTGAAATCAGTCAGGTTGTGAAATCTGAATCTCTTCTTGACAGTAGATCGTACTGTCTGGCAATGCTACACAGAGCCAGTGTTTTCTGTCTGAAGCTACCTCTGAAGTCAGGAGAAGAAGGATTATTCTAAGCACAATTGAAATAATGAGCTTTTCCTTGAGGCCTTTTGGTATGCACTGGAAGGATACAGTATCTCCATACTGTGAAAACTTGGGATGGGACCTAGAAGCTGACAGGCAATTAGTGCAAGGGATTTTATTTTCCTTGGGAATGCTTTGAAAGGTTCTTTTAAGATCCATTCAAACGTAGACCAGTAATGAGTAGAGGAACAGCAGTCTTGGAGGAGTATTGAAGAATATCAGTGAGTGGTTTCTATTTTTATATTTGAGGCAAAACAGATTTGTTAAGAAGAAGCTGTGGACTTTCCAGATTCCAGATTAGAATATGAAAGAAAGATGCTTCTGTCTTTAAATTTTTTTATGGGAGTACAGAAACTAGATTTTATTTCCTTTTATAAAAGAAGAAGAGAAGGAACAGTGTAAATGAGCTCTATCCCAAAATCAATTTTGGGACAAAGTGTTAAAACCACCATGTGTTAAAACAACATACAAATATTCTCCAATCCAATATTATTTCATGTTTAGTGTTGCAAAATCACTGCCTGTTTGCAATGCCTTTTCCATGCAGTTTTGTTAAAAATGTCTCTATCATATATACACCCTACCTTATACATATTTTCATTTTCGCCATTTGTGATCTCCCTTCTACCCCCAGATTTCTTATAGCTTTGAACTCCAGTTCAATCCTTCATTAGGAACTTGAAGTCCTAGAGGATTGCAATAAGATGTGTTTTTCTGACTGCTGTTTTTGTCCTATGTATCTTTAATCATTTTAGACTTGTTTTGACATGCCTGCACTGTGGTTTTTGTCAGGATCCTTTAGTTTTAAATGTCTTTGGCATAGAGCTCCACCTGCCATCAGCACAGGGACAAATTATAGTTATACTGTTAGTGAGTAAGCTTCATATTTCAGACCCAAAGAAAATAGTGGAGTAGATTTATAAAGGGCACTGTGTTATCTAAAATACCTCCTGGAAGTGGCTTTCAACTGATGCAATGTCAAATTATTGCATTAACCTTTCAGTAATTAATGACCAGACTTTTACTTTGACCTTTCAAGCTTGTTCATGAGACAGTGAATGTACCATTTACATAGCCTTGTATGAAAAAAAATGAGAAATTTGCATTTGAAGAGACTTACTGTACGATTCATTTAATTTTGGAAAATTTCTAAATCTTATATGTTATTCTCCTCCACTCAAAAAGCCAACAATTTTTCCAGTTCAAATTAAAAATACCTCTTCAATACCTATTTTACTTTATCTAATCATACCATGCTGTATATACCGCATGAATGCTACATGCATGCACACAGAGAATGTGTATGTGTGCATGCACGAGAGAGAATGTATCTACCACATGACAAATATGGCTGATTAAAACCATCGATTATTGACTTTCATTGATGATCACTGCTATGTGGCAAAAGCACAACTCGTCCTCAATTTTTTTGTGTTTTCACGACTGTATATTCTTTGGATTCCTTTGATAACGTGGGCAAAAAGTATTCCATAATGATTTCATAGTTGCTGTTGTTTATAACATAATTAAATATAGGAAGAACATGTGGTAATTTTAATTAGTCCTGAAAGGCAGTTTGTACAGTTTATGTAGCATTCTGAAGTGTGCATTTTTCCAATCTCAAAGGTTGGGATTTGAGACTTTACTGTACAGTAATAGTATAAGTGTCCAGAAGTTGTTACATCTCTCCAGTCTAATACCCCTTCTCTCTGCCTCCCCATCATGAATCTGGTCCAGCAATGCTTAGGGATTTCTCTACCCCTCCTCACCCTTTTTTCTTGATAGGTTAGTGAAAATGTCAGTCTAGCATTATTCTGGAATATTAATGGCAGGTAAAAATGATATGGAATAATGGAAAACACATCTTTACAGAACTTATACCTAATGTAGTGAGGGGCCGTGTTTTTCCTTGGGAAGGAATTTTATCAACCGTGGATAGAAGATAAAGAAATGAAAATAAAAATGAATCATCTTAATCTATATATTTTTCCATTGCTCATCTCTTTTCTTCCCTCTGTAAATAATTACCTGTGTGGCACACTGGAAATATGAAAGATATTTCATTTGGAACTAATATTTTTCCTTTTTAATATTTTACCTTTGCAATCAGTTTAGAATAAGCACCAAGACTTTAGAAAAAAAACCTTAAATGTGTCTTCTGATGAAGTGAACAACCTCAAATATCTCTTTTGCCAGATTATAAACAATTAAATATCCAGCTTCAATTTGGTTATTTCCTGGTGGTTTGATTCAGTTACATAATGTAGCTTGAAGGAAGAATTCTAATTAATGTGTGGGATATTGAAATGTATTGTTACACACAATACTCTATTGTGGTTTTTTGTATTTTCTTTTGAATATTGGTCACATTATTATATTTCTAAGGTGTTCTGTGAACACTTGAGACCTTTCCCCTGTTTCAATTAATTGAGGATGTGTCATCAGAATTTTGCTTTATTATTTTCTTAATTGCCTTTTTTTTTAATACGATGAAAATAATTGCAGTGGAGTTTCATTATGTATGTATAACTTTCTATTCGGCACAAATCTTTTTTAAAAAGATGGAATAAGAAATGGGTGTGTGGGGGTGTGAAAAAGACTGGCTACCCTTGATCACTTGCTTATGTTTCTTTGCTCTGGTTGTTATTCGCACAGGAGATCCAGCAGTGCAAAGATTTGCAGTTTTCCTCAGGACACTTAGGTTCTAGTTCACTTCATTTCTTTAAAGAACTGTCTTGTTGATTAAAGAATGGGAGATCTAGTTTGTGTACTAATTTGTGGGAATTGAACTGGAGGAGAACAAAGGAGTTGCATATGAGTTTGCAAAGGGGGAAAGAGTTTGGGATTTGTTCTTTTTTCTTTTCTTTAAACATGGGGACATAAGATGCAGTTGAAATTCCAAGCAGTTGTGAAGACCCCCATAAAGAAGAGTAGAAAATGTGAAAGCTAATGCAAGCAAGAGCAGTGGTAGACCAAAGCTGCTCATTTTTTAATTGCTGACTAACAGAGCTTACTGCAAAGAAGGTTCAAGGGTGAGCGGCATAGGAGAAATCGCAGTGGAGCTCAGAGTGGTGTTTGGAAGCATGATATGGGATAGATGGGAGGAAACTGAATGGATAATTAGAGTGTTGTAAACCTTGTCTCACAACAGAATACAATGTGGAGATCCAAACAAGTAGGCAGTCAGGAAAATAAATCAGAAGAAAATAATTATTAAGAGAGGGAAATAGAACTGAAGATTAGGCAGTTCTCTGCACTGAGAAACAGAGAGAAGAACGCGGCAGGAGAAACAGTCAAAGCCTGGAACAAGTGTCCAAGTAAGGTTTGTAGCTGGATACTACAAGAAAGAAAAACCAGAATTATCTGCAAGCAAATAAAAAAAAAAAATCTAGAAGTTTACACCAGTATCAAGAAGAGGCACATATATATGGAAGAGCACTAGAGGAGAACAGCATCAGAGTGGTGAGAAAAGAATCTTTAGGGAATTTTCCAAGATGTAACCGTATAGATGGTAATTTTAGAAAGGATCTAAGAAAACTGAAATCCTAGCAGAAGGCAAGAAAGACCTATATTAAAAACTGTGCACTTTGCAGTATGATTCAGAATCCAGACACAAAGTGAGAATTGCCCAGCATCAACCTGAGATGTACAAAATGCAGATTAGCAAATAGCTGATATCAAATAGGGAAAGGTTAAGAGTTTTTCAACTGTATAAACAAAAAGGGGAGATGAAAGGTTGCTGTGGAGTGAGGAATAGATAGTGATCAAAGATTATTTTAAACGTAAATAAAACTGAAAACAAACATACATAATAATTTGACCTAGTTTTCAGTATGGATAATGTGGGTTCAAAGGCACTATGATTAACAGTAACGAGGCATAGAAATGGAATCGATTTCCAAAGGCAAAGCAAAACCCAAACCTCAGTTTATTTGGTTTTGGGACATATCAGGTGCTCAGCAATGATTCTAGCACATGGAAGTGTGAATTTTGAGTATATTTATCAAGTCAGGGTGATTCTGCATGATTTGAGGATAAAGTATATGTTACAGCACAATTGCTCCCCTGTGCTCCTCAGAGGGACTGGCTTGTCTCGTCTGCTTTAAAATTTGTCTGTATTAATTTCCTCTTTGCTTAACAAATCACTGATAATTGCTTGTTGAAGGTGGAGATGCAGCTTTGTCCTTTATGGAATAGTTTCGTACTCACCTTGTAAACAGTGCCTCCTTGATTCTTTCTTTCCCCACTTTCTACGATACCCTGTTCCTAGACATTTTATGCTGTGTGTCACTTGCAGGTATTATTTAGATAAGTATTTTTTGAATTTCAATAATATTCTCCACTTGTAACACGAGTTTTACTCATCTATTTGTATTTTCAATTAAATTGGCAAATGTTATTTTTGCGTTGTTTTTCCTCTATTTGTTCTACCAAATGCGTGTAAAGGAAGGGACACAGTGTTCCATTAAATCAGAGAATCTCAATTTAATAATTAACATAGGTGTACAGCTCCAACAGTAGAAAACAAACTGCTGCACTCTGTTGAAAGACCTATACAAATTAACTGATTCTGTTCTGCCTAGTTCACCTTCTTCTATAAATAGGTGTCATAACAGGAGAATTAGATATCTTTATGCAATTCTGCATGGTATGGGAGCTTTCAGATCAGCGTTCAGATTCAACTCATTTTTGATTCACCATTTCCATTCTCTCTTCCAGGTGTGGTACAACCAAAAAGGTTTCCATTCGCTGCCATCCTACTTAAATGAACTCAGTAACTTCATTCTGTGGCTGAATTTGCCTCCTAATGTGGATTGGAGACAGTATGGTAATAGTCCTTCTTTAAGTCTTTTTTCATATCTTTTGAAAAGTAGTTTTTAAATAAATAATTTTAAGTATGAAAATTTTTCATAATATAAAGTAGGATCGCAGACTCAAACATTTCTTGGGAGGATTTGAAAGTGGAGCTTTTAATTAAACAGAAGGTTTCTTTGTGTGAAGAATGTAGTACACAATAAGGTAAAATTTGAATTTACAACTCACTATGCCATATGAGTTTCTTACAAAGGACATTCCTGTGGAATAAGTCTAAATTGGTTCACTACACTTGGGATGTTAATCCCTGTGAAACCACTGCTAAGGCTTGCTTAAATGGGATGATTAATGCACAACAGAGTATTAATTTATAACTTCTTTGTCACTTTACTCTATCTCCTTATGTAAATATCCAGGGTAAACCCAGAGTATCCTGGAAATTCACACTGCAATGTGATGTTCCATAGCATCCTGTTACTCAAGGAACAGGAGAGGCTGGTATATCTTACTGTTGTACATAACAGAAGAGAGATTAGTATATTTGACATCTGAATTCTCTGATTCAGATATCCCTGAACTGTATAAGAGCTAGTTAAAATAAAAATTTTACAAACTGACTTTTTAAAAAAATTACTGCAGCCAAAGAATCAGCTGTTAACACAGGTGAACTTTTAGGATGTTAAAATCTAGTTTGAAATCTGGGCTTGATAGTTTAGGCTAATTTCTGTTCATTTCAGTTCCTTTCATTCTTAAGGTTCTGTTAAAGAGGAATTAGTTTGGTTTAGAGAAATTTAAAAATAGCTTATGACCAATTTTTAAGAGTTTTTGAAAAGGTAGGATGGTTGTCTGTAATAGTAAAATGATTTTCAGTGTGTTTATGATGAAGAAGGAAGAAAGACCAAAATCAGTGAAAAGGGGGAAGGAATCCTGAGTATCTGAAAATAGAAATTCATTAAGAAAAGTTTCCAGAATGTCAATGAAAAAAGAATAATTGCTTGCTTTCAGAATGGCTGGGGTTTTATTTTTCTAAATGAATTATGAGAATGAATCAAAGGTAATGTATTTCTGCAGAAAGTTTGAATGAAATGAAATCAGGTATTTTAATGAGAATTTTTAATAAAAATCAATTTTTAATCAAGTTTCCCTGCACTTCATGAATATTACTGATGCTAGCTTGTTTTCTGTAGCATTAGATATCCCATTCTGGAACTTAAATGTTTAAGTACACTTATTTTTGTATCTGTCATAGGGAATTGGGGACTTACCATCCAGATTACAGTCAAAGAAAACTATAGTTGTCCCAAGAATTGTGGAAATGTTATGTTTTATGTTGTTGCATGACATAGAAACACAATAAGCTAAACAGTGCTTGATAAATATTTGAAGTCTTGGACTGTCATCCATACAAATATGGGCTCATTATATAATCTTCTGGCAGAACATGTTGGCTAAGTCTCTGCAGAAGTAGAGTTTATGAACTTAGAAAGCAGTTTATTTATGTGTGTATCTACTGGAGAGGTGCAATAAAGATGGATTGGTCATGCTCCTGAGACATAATGCAGAGGGTCCTGTCAGAGAAATCCTAGAAAGAGAAGTCAAGTTATCTACCTATCTATCTGTACGTATGTATGCAATGGATGGCTATAAATGCTTCAGAAGGGACAGGCAAGGAAGGAGAGGCGGTGGGGTGGCTCTGTATGTTAGGGAGTGTTTCGATTGTCTAGAGCTCAACGATTGTGATGATAATACAGTCGAGTGTTTATGGGTAAGGATGAGGGGGAAGGCCAACGAGGCAGATATCCTGCTGGGAGTCTGTTATAGACCACCCAACCAGGATGAAGAGGCGGATGAAACATTCTACAAGTGGCTGGCAGAAGTCTCACAATCGCTAGCCCTTGTTCTCGTGGGGGACTTCAACTTCCCGGACGTCTGCTGGAAATACAACACGGCAGAGAGGAAGCAGTCTAGGAGGTTCCTGGAGTGTGTGGAAGACAACTTCCTGACACAGCTGGTAAGTGAGCCTACCAGGGGAGGTGCCTCGCTCGACCTGCTGTTTAC